TGTTCAAAAGCAATATGCTATAAGCACAAATATTGAAGATGAATCAATAAATGAATCACAATTAGTTTTTTATTATGCACTTACTGATTGTGAAACACGATAGTCAAATACTTTTAATGCATGGGTTATTTGTTAATTTTAAGACCATTTATTGATATTCTTTCTACAATAATAAATATAAAGAATGCTGATGTGGAAACAAAAAAAGATAGAAAGCAGTTAAAAAAAATTAATTTAACTTCTGAAGAATGGTTATTTATCGAAGAGGTTATGCCAGTTCTAGGTAGTGTTTCAAATTAAAAATCGATTACGTAATCAAGTTGGGATTTACTTATTTGTGCAAGTGATACAAACCCCCCAAAAAAAAAACTAATATATTTTTTTTTTTGCACGTGAGTCATAACTTTAGAGTTATGGTTGAAGTTAGAATTAGTATATTCTAAAATTTGCAAGAATTTTTTTTATTAGAACGTAAAGGTGATTTTTTAGGCAGAATTTGAGTTACTGGCTATTTTTTAAAAAAGTTTTTGTTTCATATTACACCACTGATCTTGCGATCTATATAAGAAAATTTTCTTATTTGGGGTTATATTACTGGCGTAAAGAAGTGTACATGATCAAGTTGACAACTAATTAATAATTTATTAAATAACTCAATTATTTAATTAATTAATTAGTTGTTTTTAATATACTTGACTCCTGTCAATATCAATCCATTTAAATTGGTTTTATATTTATTAATCGATTTTTTAAAAATTTTGGCCAACTAATCGATTGTATTTTTTTTGGTTTTTTAATTTGAAACACTAATTTTAGGACTATTCACTGAAACTATTAAAAAGCTGAAAGGAAGTCAATATTTAACCATAAGTTATGTATATCCTGCGATTCAAAAAATTAAGTCAAGATTAAGTTGTTCTTTTGACCCTATCGATGAAAATAATGATAGTCAAGATGAATTAAAGGATGCATTTGATGACCTACAATTTGAAGACGAGGAAGAAGATGATAAACCAAAAGCAAAGCAAAGAATCAAAATTAATAATCTAGTAAATACAATTGGATTAATTAATGCAATTAAAGGTAAACTTTATCATGCAATAAATGTCTATTATGAAGATTTAGAGCTTGATGGTCTTGTTGTTTCACTTTTGGATTCATGTTAGAAAAATCTATCATTTATAACTAAATCAAAAAAAATTGAACCAATTAATAAATTACGTCACCTATATAAAGAAGAAAATTTCAAGTATCATATAACAAGCTTATCTGTAAAAAAAGAAAAGAAGCCCTTACAAAAAAGGTTAAAACCAAAATTATATGGTAAAAGCTTGTTTGGTGAAAGTATATTTGA